AAGTGCTTTTAATGAGATACTTAACTTCCTCAGAAAACATACTACATTGCCCATTGACTTAGAACAGAATTACGGGTGAACGATTAGGATAGGGTAATGATTCTCTCTCTGGTTTGCTTATTAATGTTGTTTACCTTTATAATAAATACCTCGTGAAGTGAAAATTTTTCGACTTTTAAAAAAGTCTGTTTCATGCTTTTGGTAAAACAAAACCGTTAGAAAAACTTGAAGCCTTAATATTGGCATAGATGCCAGTCTATTGTTATACTAGTTGGTACTGTTACGAAATGTCCAGGCGCGGTAAGATATCTTTCCCGCAAAGCAGTTTTAGGATTGCCATAAAATGGCAAAGGAAGGCAGGGTTGCCACATTTAGTGAAAAATTGTCCATTTGGCGACAAATTAGGCGATATGCTATGGAAGGATGGAGAACCTTCTGGAACAAATTCTTACCCATTTAGCCCAGAATGTTCTCGAACACAAGGCAAAAGCTATATAAACCCTGTTGATACACGGAGAGTTAGCATCGAGTTAGTCAGTCCGTGCGGAAGTCGATCGAGTTGAAAGCCGGGCAGCGAGTGCCGAGTGGGTCGTCGAGGGCATCGAACGTGTATCGTGGTTAGTGCATCGTCGAGAGAGCGTGCTGAGCTCCGGCAACGACTGAACCGAAGAGTCGAGAGCTGTGCTCTGTATGTCGCCGAGTGCATCGCGAATTGTAGCTTGGAGAGTCTCGAGAGTACGTGGAGTTCCGAGAACGACCAAGCAGAGTCGGGAGCTGTACTCTATTGCTTCGCAGTGAAGCTGTCTCCACTGTTATAGCCTGATAACCTGAAGCTGATTGTTCCAGCGAGTGTATAGTAGATCTTCGACGACTGTAAAACGTGACTTTGGAGCTGTCCTGATTAATATTAGCTAAATAAAGTGTGTTTCGATACTTCATCAAGTGTCGTCGTTATTCACTCCAAATCTACGAACTCCGTACGAACGTGAAGGAAGAAAATAACGTAACAGTACATTGGCACACGTGATAATTTCATCTTAAACTAGTATAATATCTTCCGCTATTACAAACCAATTTCTAGCCATTAGGAAGAAAAATGTTGGAACAATGAAAAGAAAATAATTAAAAGTCCTAGATATGAATTTAAAAACGCCGTAAAATTTAAATAAAAATAAATAACCACTCTCATAAAGATAAATTTTATGGGACGGCTTAGCATAATAGTGCCGGTACCTTTTTGCAAATTGGCTACTGTTAGCTGAGATAAAAACCTTCGCAAGGATGGCCCCAGTAATAAAGATGGTTGCGCTTTTCTGAAGGTCGGTTTTTGTCTTAAAGAAAGTAATCTGCATAAAGATAGCACCACCTTCCTTCCAGGCTATTAAATATGAGGACAAGGTATTAAATTCCACTCCTCAAAGACACTTACAAATATCCATGCTTTCTGTGGGATTCGAACTTGGGAACAAGACTATGCAGCCAGCTCTTTTATCATCAGGCCCATAGAGTGGGGCTTAACAGAAATGTTTTAACAGGCTGAAGAGGAATGCAAAGCTATACCACGCTGTTTAAGATGCCTCATAATTTTAATCTAATGCATAATTAATTTTCCTTCCATCTTAAAATTGAATTAAGAATTTTATTCTTTTAATTAAATGTAAGAATTTCCATTCGTCGACAAGTATTTGCTTGAAATTCTTTTTAAGTCTTTGTATTAATTCTTTACCTAACTGAAAAGAATTAAAATAAAAGAATTAGATTTCTAAATTAAAGTATTGGCTTTCAGATTTCAACATAGTTGATTCGTTTTTCGCAAAGCTAGCCAATTAACACTTCCGAACAAGTAAACACGTCATTTTTGAGTCTTCCGCGTTAAAAGTTTTGCGCAAATTTCTTGTCCGATCCTCTTTCAAAAGGCTGAGCATGATTATCAAGAAAATTAAAAAGTTTCCCCAAAGTACTTTCTTTTATTAACTAGTCTGTCTAGACTGGCAAGTCTTCTTCTCCGAAATTAAAATCAGGGCGGAAAGGTGAAAAGAGGGAGCAAATATTTATGCTAATCTGATTCGTTTAATGCTGCATTAAATGATAAAAACGAGAAATTTTTGAAGTTAAATATTTTAGAGTTAGATTACAAAAAAGTAGAAACTAAAAAATAGCTTCTTGCTCTCATCGTGCTGAAATGCAACTAAGAAAATGTGATTTAACTAATTCTTTAAAAGTTGTCAAGAAGAAATTTTCAGCGAGTAAAGTTCTGCGGTGTTTTGGAAATGCATTAAGATAGAGAAACCAGACGTTGCTTGTCAAATTGTCTAGACGGGGCTTGTATTGATTAGGGAGCTCCGGGCTAGACTTCGTCGTATTATATAAATATACCTGCGGAAAATTTCTCTTTATTAGTTTCTGGACCAACCAGTTACTGATTATCGAGACGAGCATATTAAGGGGTGGGATTCTGTTAGCGACGCTTCGGTTTTCTGTGTTTGTTTATTTCTAGCCTGCCCTTATAGTCTTAACATATGATGTTGTATAATTATTTTCACTCTGAAAATTAATTTACATTTTTCTTCATGTTGCTATGCAGTTAAATTGTTCTGAAGTTTAAGAAATCCTTTCTCACTCTCTCTCTTTTCTTCTTTTTAAACTGTTACAATTGTTTTCTTCTAAAACAGTGTAAAAGATAAAAATATGGAAACGTTGAAAAACTAATTTTATTTCTATTGAAAGCAAAATTTGTAATGGCAAAAATTTCAAATCTGAGATGCAATTTGACTTGTTTTGAATGAAACAGAATACATTACCCTACTGTTTTCTGCATATGTATACATTGAATATGGTTGAAAACGCTCATATATTGGAGATATCGATTTCATATTCGGAATTTAATTTTAAAAGCTAAAATTGCATAGATTAGATATAGAAAAATATCCTGTAATGTAAGTAAATATAATATAGTGTCTCGTATATAGTATAATATAGTGTCTCGTATAAGTATGTTTTATACCTTTAAACTCACAGCAATTTTCTTTCTGTTACCGACACAAGATATTCGCAGAAAAAGGCCTAGATTTCAAACCGCTTGATTTTTATTTGCTGAAATAATACTAAATGAAATCAAATTTCACAGTGTCCTCAAAATTTAAAAGTATGTCGTATAGCAATGGCAGTCAATTTCCACGAGTGCTACAGAAATGGAAATTTCGTTTTTAACTGTGTGCACAATGGGAAGCATTTTGTATCTGTAATTTTCAAGTAGCCTACGATATTGGGAAACTCACTCTTTAGTCTTTCCATTCATTTACAACATTAGATATACCTTTAATAGTGGATACTTTCCCTTTTATATAGATATTCTCTCTCTCTATATATATGTATAATAAGAATTTATTTTCTAATAGATTATTTAGTATATTATCTCCTTTGACAAAGGTAGTTAGAATTCTATTGAAAAAGTAACTCATTAGCATATTTAAAAATTGAATCTTGAATAAATTGAAAATGGAAACATCAGAAATGCACCTTGAATAAATTGAAAATAGAAACTTTTAAAAGGTATAATTAAAAGTGAAAATGTAATCAATAAAGCAAGTAATTATCGTCATAGACAGAAATTAGTTGACTTTTCAAGGAGAACAAACCAATTTCCGATCAATTAACAATATTAATAAATGCGAAGGTCTTTTTCTCGAGTAAAATTATTATGCCAAAAATGCTTTCAGTAAGATGAGTTTAATTATATAAATATACATATTGCTTATAGGCCAAAACTTATGAGACAACTTGCATTAATTTAGCATTAAGGAAATCGAATAAAAAGAGTGCTACTGCTTAGAAATGATTGCGGTGCATTTAATTTTTATTCAAGAAAGACCTGTTTGATACTGTTAAACTGAATTAGCTATCTGTCAACAATTTTTCATATATTTAAGAGACTGAAGCACAAAAAATATTCGATATTCAAGGAAAGGTCGAAATCTGCTTGGAAATACTAAATGTGCAAACGTGCAGTTGCTTAAAAGAATGCGTGCTTTTACTCACATAACAAGTACACAGCGATCTAATCCTTTTTATCTTTTCCTATAGAAATGGTTGGAGACCATCTAAATTCTAGAAGAGCAGTTTCATAAGATGGTTATAACCATTTGGTCGTTACATTATTATAATTAATTACAATTAATTACCTCCAAATATTATAAAATATTTGGAGGTAATTAGTTGATTAAAAGACTGGAATTTTCCACTCTCTAGCAGCACGTATAATTGCATAACGCTGTTTAATGCAATTATTCGTGTTTAATGCAATTATGCGTGTTGTGAGTGAGTGTCTTTCAAATAAGGCACATATAAATTCTTAGAAAAATTATGCTATTTAAATGATTTAACTGCACTTGCGCACACGACACTTGCCTGCAAATCGAAAAGCGGAGTCACTTGCGCACAAGGAAAATTCACTGCAACTTGTATGAGAATGGTTTGCTAACCACATCTTCTGGATTATCTTTCGGTAACTTGGAACAGCGACTAAGATTATTTATTTGCTTTACGAAACTTTAAGCTACTAACAGCTCAAATATAGATTTTGACAAAATGTTTATATTGTATATGTGTGAGAGCATATAGAGATAGATAACTATTTTAAGGAATAATGTACCTCGGAAATAAACTAATGTATTATTAGTTAATTTATTAATATATTGTTAGTGGTTTATTCTACAATATATTACTAGTAATGTATTATTAAGCAAGTTTTAAGAAAAATCATGTAGATAAATCATAAGGCTGATTGATTGTGTTTGATAAGCTGTGCGGAAGTGTTACTCATTATCCATAGCTGGTTACACCCGCTAGAAAAATTGATGTTCCGTAAAGATGATGTGCGCAAATGCCGCTTGTGCGGAACTGCCATGTTCTCGTGTCATGTAGCCATTTAAATATTTAACAATTAAAGAATTACAGACATCAAGGTATACACAACAGTAAAGCAGCAAAAAATCACTTACAGAAATGCTGAATCGTTACGCATCCACTGACGTCTCAATTATTTTCTGCCTTGACATTAGATAATATGGCTGGAACCTACTGGTTCGTTTGTGAGGAAGCGCTGTGGGAGGGATTTTGTCCGGACTACTGACTGCTGGGGAAGCTGCAGCTCCCCCTCCGTTGCCTCCCTCTTTGTCTGAGTCGTCCCTTAAGTCCAACGAGCCATGGCTGTCTCCGCTGGTGTGTCCGTCGAGGAGCCGGGGTGGAGGTCCCGGTCCCCCCAGAGCTGAAGCTATAGTAGGGTTTGGCAGACCCACCGACTGAGCTGACGAATAAGGAGACCCGGACAAGTAGGAGCACAGTGGGTGGATGGATGTTGATTCTAAAGTTGGGTGAACCCCATTCGAAGGCGCCGCTGCTGCGACTGCCGAAGTGTTGTGCACGAAGCTGTAGGGATAAGTCCCCGAATGGAGTAATGATGAGTAATGAATAGGCTGATACATATGAGACACTGGTGAGGACTGAGAGGTGGGAGGAACCAAGGAGTGTGGCCAGAAGTTGCCAGGAGATGCCGGACTGATTGTCGGGGAACTCCTCAACGTTAGGGCCAGAGGTCTCGTATCATTCTGGGCTGAAAGAATACAAACAATTTCATTAATAACTCGAAAGATTTGAATAAAATGAATAGAAACATTGAGATTGACAATATCGTTCATTGCTTTATTGGAAGACCACTTAAGAACAAACAGGTCTGTTGAAAATCTTTAATTCTCAATCTGGTCCTGGAATCTTACGCTTCTGGTCTGTCTTCCCAGAATTAAAAAAAAAAAAAAAAAAAAAAAAAAAAAAAAAAAAAATAGAGGACAGAACGTTAAATTCAAATTAATTGCTTGTATCACAATGATATACTCAAATAATTAAAGCCTGAAGGAATTTCCCGGAGGAAAAAAAATACGTTTTTATAATATGAATAGAGTGCTAGGCCCTTTAACATGCTAAACATCTCTGCAGCTATGCAACAGCAACTTATACATTAGAACACATCAAAAGAAGGGAAATAACATTTCCAATAGTGAATGAGAGCTAATTTATACGAATTTCAAATTTTAAGCATTGTTAAAGGGTTTTTTATGGAATAGCTAAATTTTTGTACTTAAAAAAAATAATATATAATTTATACTATTCGCTCATATTTCGAAATTTATTTTAAAATGGGTTAAAGAAACGAGGTACTACTATAACACTTTATCTATTTTATACAAAGCTTTATTTTGTTTATTTATTCACTTTAAAATAAACTGTTTATTATTTCTTTGCTTTTATTCCTATTCTCTCGCTCAATAATACTTAATATTTTTTATTAATATTATGATATCTATTGAAAATATTCTCTCGCTCAATAATACTTAATATTTTTCTCTCTCTTATCAAATTATACATGCAATTTTACATAACACTTTAGTTTTACATGGCACATGGGCTAGTAGAATATAAAACCTGCGTATAGTCACCGCCACTAAGCTTAAATTATTTGAATACTTTTCTATTAACAGTCGCCAAATGTGCGTCAAAGGGCAAAATACGGTACTCCGTTTATTTCGCACAATAAAAAGCTGTGCAATGTTTAATGTGCGCTATGTCAAAATTGTGCTACATGCCGAATTTATGCTATTTTCTGATGCTTTTTAAGTTAAAACAACAAAGAATACCGTCTACGCAGCAATCTGTTTTTAGCGAAGCATTATATATATTATAATATATGATTATAGCAAGTTTTTGCTTGAAGTCTGACGTATTATTAGGACTGCGGCAATATAGCTAGATTTCGGACGAACGTTATGTTCTTTTGACGATTTTTTCTGTTTCAAAACGGAGGGTGCAACTATTACGTGAAGGCGACTATTACGCGAGTAAATATGGCAGGTACCGTTATTTATGCGTCTTCACTAAAGTAATAATAATAATTATTATTACAGGCTGCTCCGCCTCTCATTGGGCACTACAGGTCGAGTCAAATCACTCCGGTCGTTGCGTTTTTATCTTAAGCTGCTTTTTCTTTTCAGCTATCCTTTATTTATTACTATTTACAACATTTAATGAACATTATTACATTTACAATTATAATTATTTAATACAAAAGCTGTTAGTGTGTACTAAGATAAAAGGTTAGTTAATTATATTACACTATTTATAAAATATACATTTGGCGTGCTGCCAATTGCATACTTCAGGTTTTTAAATAGGAACCTGGCTTTTAGCTTTCAATTATGATATCCCTCTGATGTTCGTTGATGAACTTGATAATTGCTCGAGCTCCTCGCTGTCCAGAGTAAGTGTCACTGAAGTAAAACATGCTAAAAGGCAGAATTAAAATTTCCTTATTTGGATTACCGTAAATACATATTTAGCCAATATAACCTCGAAAAAGGAGGGGCAGGAAAAATAATAATAATTAATGATAATGCAAAGAATTATCATATTCCCCCATGCGTGCGCGTTTGGTGCAAGTGACTAACACATCAAACTAGCAAATGCGAGGTATTTGAAACCCGGCGTGGGTGCTAAAGAATTTTTAAATTACTAAAATATATTAAATTAAATCTACAGAATTATTTTCTACGATCAAGGTAAGTTTCTTTAAAAGAATCAAAGACATTCATCAGGAATTATTAAAGTATGGATTTAAAAATAATTATGTTGCTATGCTATGCAAAACTAATAAACACTAAACAAAGCCTAATAAACACTAAACATAATCTTTTAAACTTATTCATTTCATTTCTTATTTCTTCAAATCCTATAAGAATGTCCTGTAAAGTTAAATCTTTTAAGAATTTAGCTTTACCTAGCGCTCAATAGTCACACTTAATTTAACGATTTATAACCCAATAATCGACGTAGAAATTTAAGTTTCAGGGAAGTACTTTTTTAATTATTGGTAACAAGATTAGATTTAGTCTCCCCAAGTTCCTGAAGACTCAGTTGAGTAAATATAACATCTATTCTAGGCCAAAAAATTAAAAAAGTCAGCTACTGTTGAAGGTTTTCAAATGAGAACTTGTGCCGAATGAAAACAGTTTGGAAACGATTCTGAAAATTTTATTTTGCGTCAAAGCTTCTCGTTGTCAATAATGGCAGGGTTCTTTTTTTATCTGCGCAATATCACAGGTTTATTAATTACATTTATAGAACGTAATTTGTCTCCATCTGCTCTTTCAAAAGATGAAAACAAAGGTAAAAAGACATTAAAAGGAACAACTTGATTTTCAGATCTCTGAGTCGTCCATTGCTCGTATAAGTAGAGTGATTCCTCCCCCCCCCTCGAAATCAGACGCAAGAGTATAATCAAAAACAGAATCATGAGAGTATAATCAAAAACAGAATCATGAATTTGTAATCTCAACTGAAAAGCACTTTTAATTCTTTTCTTTAGAAAGTGAATGAAAAAGAAACCTGCATTTATTTTCTCTTCTCACCTTTAATGGCCCATGAACAGATGTTTATTGGGCGATTAAATTCTCTAATGTCTATCTCTTAAACATTATCATATATAAAAAATATTTGGTTTTATAAATGAATAAGTTAAATGCCTTAAGCGACTGCCAAAAGGAAATAGCCGAAGAACTTTCAAACTTTATTGCAGAGGAACGAATTAAAATCGTGACATTATAATCAGAAGAAGCTAAAAGAATATCCAAAATTTTGAATAGGAATAATAAAAAATAATCAGAATATCCAAGCTTTTGGATCAAAATTATTAAAGACAGGTAACAGAATGATGCCAAACTAAAACAAGGATGATTTATATTGTTATTTATTTCTTTCAGTTTAATTAGCTTGAAGCAAAAATAAAAACCAGATTTAGATTTTAGGCTATTTAAATAAAATTTACCGTTGAAATAGAAATTGGTTGGAAATTTACAAAAAAGTAAAAAAAATAATGGCTTAATTTTGCCGAAATAAATATTTATTTAAAAAATCTTTATAATCTTTTTGAAATAACTTAATAAATCAAGAAATATGTTATTGTTGTTGTTGTTATGATTAATCTCGCTCATCTGAAATCAGAACAAGCCCACGAAATTCATCCTGGCAAGGAGCCAAGATTGCGTCTGTCGTTGCAAGAGCTTTGGGCACCATACAGGTGACAGGTTTCGCCCCCCGCCTATTTAGTGTGCACCATGCCGCACAGACACTATACATATACAAACACCCATGCCTCCTCTGTAATTCAAGTCCAAGCTCTTGGGTACGGTAATCAGAGTCACTAACCACTATCTCGGTTGAGCGGCATATAGAAGCATAATTCCCTTATATGCTCGACTTCAAAATCTCAGTAAACGGGCTTGCCACACCGAAATTTTCGTGGTACATAGTGAAAAATGCGACTCATTTTTCGTTAGAGAATCATAGTATAGGATCATTGATATATCCCCCGTTATGATCGGCTGGAATATATCTATCTGATTTTACAATGTAAAGCTGCAACACATCAAATGATACCTTGCTGTTTTTTAACTGATGAAGGAAGTTGGGATACCCCTCTCAAACTCTTCGCTTACGTAAAGGAGTTCACTTAGAATGCAAACATTTATTGTTTTAGATGGATACAATCTTGCTGATATCTCTCTTCCTCTTTATTCTTCTTCTGTTACTCAATATTTCCTCATAGACAGGAGCAATGATTTCTGACCTTCTTTGGTTGACCTTCATGAGGATCCTCTTCTACGAATTCTCGGCTTCTGAGAAATTGCTTTATTAATTCTTTCATTGTAGAACAAGGAGAAGATGAATCAACACATATATGACCCAAATGTTGTTTTATGAAAATCTTCTTTAATCAAAACACAGAACGATAATCAGTTTCAAATATTTTACAACAAACTAGCAGATCACTTCCCTCAGTAAACAATCAAAAAAGAACGCAGATGATTTCACTAAAGAAACTTTCAAATTTATTCATTTAGTTTCCCCTACATGACTACAAGAGGAATTTATTACCAAACGAATTGTTATATGTAAGCCGGGAACTTTTGTGCACATTTAATATGAAATATCGAAATTTAAAATAGAGTGGAATCATAAATCACGAAAGCCTCACTTCAAGAATAATTTGGTTTACAAACAAACTACCTGAATAAAAAATATCTCGGTTGATAAATAGAGTCTCGAGTTATGAAGTCCGCAACATATGAATTTTTCAAAAGTTGCATCACTAAACTCAGAGACTTTCGGAAACATCATTTTAATATTTTTCGTCCCTTAAATCTCATTAACACAGCCAAGCAGCAAGTAACTTAGAGGACCATGAATTCTTCCTGGAAGAAATCATAGCCAGATTGGTTTTCAAGTAGAGAAATTGATTTACGCTATCAAAGAAGACTAGATTTTATAAAGTAAGTTATTATGCATTTTATCTGTTTAATTCGTTCCTGAAAGAAATCGAAGTCAACCGAAGAGTTCGTATGCCGGAACTATTTTTCTCATAGAAATTAATATAAAATGGATTAATCCATTCATGGAACACTGATTATTAATTTTGTGTACAAACTCATAAGCAAAAAACAATCGAAATCACTAAATATAACACATAAAAGATAAACACAATATTAAATTTGTGAACCAAGTTTTACTGCAGGTGTGTTCTTCTTTTTAGGCTACATTGCTGTATCAAAATTTTAGAAAACTTAGGATTATCAGGATTTCAAATCTGCATTCCCGCTGATCATTTACTTTGACGTAAGTAGGAAAATTTCCTACTTATGCGTCAATGTAAATGATCAGCGGAGCTTCTTCCCAGAGCTTCAGTGTTTAACAAAGTTTAAAGTGACTTCTCTCCTTGAGATACATAAATAAATTTGAATAAAATAGCTATAGCAGATAACATTCGAAATATTTTGTTCATTTTGGCATACATTGAAAAATGTATTATTTTAATTGGTGAAGAAATTTTTATCGATGGTTCCGCGCAATAATATATGACTAC